ATGTTTGCAACTTAAAATGTTTATCTAAATCAATTAACTCACATTTTTATCTTGCAACCATGCATTTAATTAAGTGGAGGTGAAAGGTCGCCTGAATTCGTTTTTAGAGTGCAGTACCTGGCTTCATAGGGACTTGCATCCATTATTTTAAGGGAGACTGGGGAGAATACCAACTGGAAATAACCCACAGTGGTTTGTAGTTGGGGAAAAATTCCTCATCTGGTCTTTGCTCTCGGCGTCTTGCAACATAAATTGAAGCATTAAAAGTAGCGGGCCAATGGATAAAAAAATGTATTCAAGTTAAACCCAATAATCTGGAATTCATTTATATAAATCACAAGTGGAAAATACAAGTATCCAATTGTATTTTGGTGAGAGATTATTACATTGTGTTGAAATGAAATGATAAACTTGTAAGAGAAATGCTTTTTACTTTATAATAACATGATTTCTGAATATTTCCTTGTTCTTAATCTTAGCGCCTTCAAATTAAGAAAATGAAATTGAAGTGTTAAAAGTATCTTTCTCTTCTTCTTCTTCTTCTATGTGTCTGCAGCCCTCGTTTGTAGAAGTCATGTTTTCCAAAGCCACTGCCAACTTCGTCCATCAGATTGACCCTGAAGGAAGCCTCATCCATGTGTCGCGAGTAAACGACTCAAAAAAACTGGTTCCTATTGGACTAGTTGTCAAACGCAACCGCATCTGGTTCTGGCAGAGCCCCAAGTACCAACCCACTGTTTTCACCCTCAGTGACTTGTTGCAAGGCGACCAGGTGCTAAGTCCTGGTAAGTCTGCATATACAGAAAAAAAGGGAATAGAAATTGCTCAAGTATTTCCATGCCTCCTTATTGTAAGACACATTTACCCTCACGCATATCCAACATCACATGTTTTGTCAGGAGTGTCCGAGACAGACTTTCTGACCTACAAGGGGACGTTTAGAGACGCAGTCTCCGGGAAGCTGGACCCCGAGGTTGGCCCCGTCGGTGGAACACTGGAGGGCCACGGCTCCTCCGAGCTCCAATCATGTTTTGGCAGGATGTTGAAAGAGGAACTTGATGTGAAAAAGCTGTTACGGGACTCCAGCAGCAGGTCATTCATAATTTCCGTATTCAAGATTCACACATTGTGGACAGTGAGCAGAAGGTGAAAGGGTGACAACTTTATTATTCATGAGGGGAATCAATGTAGTTAGACAACACATTTGACACCTAAAACCAGTAACATGCAAACCACAGAGTTCAATAGTGTCATCTTACTTAAATACACTGCACTTATGTCCTTGGTTCTAGTGATTTGGTTTCTAATGTGAATAGCATGCTGCAGGACCTAGGAATAAGTTAGCACCTTATTACTTCTGGCTTCCTCATATTGTTTTACAACATAAATTGCGTCAGTAAATACCCCAGTGATTAATGTCTGAAGCCTCTATGTGTAATAAAAACAGTGGTTGTTAACAAGTGACCACTAAAACTCATCACGTACATCATCAGCCGCCTTTAGCTCAGCGGTGGTTAAGCCATGCAACTGTGATGTTGTTTGTCTTGAATTCAATGTTTTATACTGTATGTGTTCTGGGTTAAATTCCCAAAATAAGGCCTGTGGTTAATACAAGCTTAGCAGATTTACAAATCTAACATACAATATGTCAGTAAGTACACCACTGGTGAATGTCTATAGCTTTTAAGTGTCTTATTAACAACTTCATAAACTGAAAGTTGTCCCGCTCAACATTAGCCGCCTCTAGCGTAGCAGTGTTTACATGATGCCATGCTACTGTGTTTTTGTTCGCCAATAGCCTTTACGTTAGCTAAAGCTATAGTTTTGCTATTTACTTTTAGCAATTTACTTTTAGCAATTTGCATTTTGCATTTACGCTTCAAAAATCGTAAAAGTGGTGTTAATATGTGGAGATTATCCTGCTGAACAAAATATTTAAGTATCATAAACGTTGCTTTGCCAAGGATCTTATTTTCTGCAATAATACAATTGCCTTTTGTCAAAGGACACTTTGTAATCTAATATTCCTGCCAGTTTACAAAAATCTGTCATGCCTTCACCTCTCTACTAATTACTGATAGATTACACCTAAATACCACGCACATACACTACATTGCCATTGTAATTCATACACTTTTTTATTTTGCGTTAGGCTGGTGGACATGCAGAATAAGCTGGTGAAGCAGATGGAGAAGCGAGAGGAGGTGCTGGCAGTGGTGAAGGAGAGGATCCTCACCACCACCCCCTGCTCCATCACCCAGAAGAAAAGGGAGCAGTGCATCTTCCAGGGGCTGGTGGGCCTGCTAGGGAGCCCTGCTAAGGTGGGTGTGGAGTGTGAATGTGTGTATTTTCAGAATTTAATACAACCTTTGATATTGTTTATTTTTACTGTAATCTGTGCCATTATTAGACAATGAATCAAGTTAACTAATGATTATGAATGCTTTTTCGTTATTATGTATACATAAATTACCTTTCATTTACTATATATAGTGTTTTTTTTTATCATTAACAAAGTGTTGCACACTTTTGAGAAATAGTTTGACGTATCTATTAATGACGGTTTAATAAAGTGACACCAATGTAATATTTGTTTATTTTTCAGCAAGATTGTCACTTAAGTACCTTTTAATTTAAAATTCCTGGCTTGTGTGTGTATTCTCAGTTGTGTGTGAAGAACAGCAGCAACATTGAGGCGGACAGCGACGTCTCCTTGGAGATCCCGTCTGGAACAGTTATTGCGTACAGCGTCCTGGAACTGGACATTAAAAAGGATGGACACTATGGTGAGTGTGTGTGTGTGTGTGTGTGTGTGTGTGTGTGTGTGTGTGTGTGTGTGTGTGTGTGTGTGTGTGGTTACAGAGAAAAAGTGGGGTCATTGTGACAAAAGTGTTCTTGGAAAATGGGAAGTGTGAATCACATTTTCACTTCTCTTTAGTTTGACAAGATATAAAAAAAATAATTATGGTATTCATTCCATTCCATTGCGTACCAACATCTGTACCTGCGGCAAAAACAAAAACTGTTTTATTTTCCATTAACCAGTCTTTAAACACTGCCAGAGCCAATACTGTGCTCTCTTAAGTGTTTACTTCCTGTCTCACCTCTGTAGTTCTTCTGACGTCCAGTGCGCTGTATTTAAACCTGTTTCTTTTCTGGGGACAGTTCAGCCATCTTGAAACCAACTTTTTATGGTCTCCACAAATATAAAAGCTAATATTCAAAAAGTATTCCATGGTGTTTTTTGATGGATGATACCTAATGTTGAAGTTAAGTCGACCGGACTTCTTTCCGCTGATTGAAGTGACTGCAAATTGTCCATTGATCCTCCCTAGCAACGGTCATGTTATCCTTAACAGCTGTGTGTTAGCGAGTATTACAAATCTCTGGCATCAATAATTTCTCTTTTTTTTCCCATGGTCCTAATAATAATAATAAATACAAATATAGTAAATACTACACTGTATAGAGAAGCACAGTCAAACCTCACTTAATATAAATCAGTCCATCATTTTTTAACATCCCATAGGCTGATATTCAATAGTGAATTGTCTGATTTTGTGTTTTGACTATGTGATGTTGTGTGTAGATATATGCCTACGGCCTGGAACAATAGGAGGTATTGAAGCAGACTCGCCTGAGTCCTGGCCATCCCAGGATTCTTTGGATTGGGTGGACGGCATGTTTCCAGAGAAAGTAGCTTTGATTGAAATGCAAAATGGTTTGTGCTTTTTATATATATAATAAGTCAGTTAATTGGAAATAACTTTAATGGATAAGCTTCCATTTACACTTTATATTTTGGGAGAAAATAACAGACATTAAGGAAGTGATGGAAAGGAAATAAGATCCCTTTTCTGCTGCAGATGGCTCTGTGGATTTAATGTTGGGTGGAATTGTGGTTGGTCTGACCAGCATCAGAATATAAAACTTCAACTTTAAGTACAATGTTCAAGTCAGGGTACTTTGAAATTATTTTTGGATTACTTCAAAATAAAACGTTGAAATATTGCCTTTTCTTCTCTTTCAACATCTCAAAAATGTTTGCAAATTCAGTGTTTCCCTTGGGGCAACCATGTTTCCCATACAAAAAACAGTACTGACACAAACTACATGTGCTGTCTTTATTTAAAATAAAAAATGTTTTAGAAAATTGCCATGTTTCGAAGACTAAACAGAAATATATTTTCTATTACATAGAAATACTTAGCAAACTAACCTCAATAGTATTGCATATTTTCCCCACAGTCAACCTGGGTTTATGAGACTGCAGTTTGAAATTTGATTTCGTAATTCTGATTACATGTACCCAACTCTGACTATTACTAGTAAGTCTTTATATATCTGCCATTGTCAGAAATGTACAGCCCGTTATATATACATAATATTTTACAGTTTGCCAAATAGTCTTCTTCTATTCTCAGATTTTAGATGACAATTCACACTTTTCAACTCAAACTAACTTATCAGTTATTCCCAACTAAAAGTTCAACTAGCAAGAAGCTAAAGAGGATAAACCCTTACCACAAATGTTTAGAATGAGTTAATTATGCAACTGTATTTGGGTCTGCATTAAATATACATGACGTTGAAAAATCATACTATTTTGGAGAATTATAAGTAAGTCATGACTGAGTTACTTCCATTTTAACGTGTCATAAAAAATGTGAGTGTAATTGCGTAATGTCTTCAATAATTGTGGTTGTAGGGGTTTACCAAGAACTCTGTGCCTGTTTGTAAGAAAGCGGAATATCCCAAAATAAAAAGGTTGCAGTACTATTTAAACATTTGGAGATTAAAACGAGTGGATAATGTAAGTAGGTAGACATAATCCCGAGAATGAGACGTGTTCAGTTTGAAACCTGACACAGTATCTCCCTTTTTTTACAGGATCACATGAGATGGATCTTTCTCCTCTGGCAGAGCTCCCCCAGTCCACTCGATACGCTTTGTTCAAGAGACTCCAAGAGACTCTGAGGGACAGAACTGCCCTGTCACATGTTGAGTGTTCGGTGAGTGACACTCTGACTTTTGGTAGGCAAAGGTCGAGGTCACCGTGACCTCCCAAAACACATTTTTGCCCATAACTCAATGATAACTTCATACAAATGTCTAATAGGATTACAGCATTAGGAGATGACATTTTGGACAGACATGGATTTGAATTGCAACAGGACTGGTATGCAGTGTTATAAGAGTGTTCGTGTGGTGACATCAATTTGTAGGCCGACCCAGATGTTAGCATCGCAAAGGCCCCCTTGAAAAGATCTATGTTTTTTTTTTACTATTTCATTTTAGAATATTGCAGACAATGAAATGTTCACCAAACACACGTTTATGATACTTAAACATTGTTTTCAGAAGGAAAGACTCCACATATTAACAGCACTTTTATGATCAACATCATGGCTGCATGGTTGCACGTCACCACCGCTAAGCTAAACGCGGCTAATGCTCGGAAATTGGTCAGCATTATTTTATGTTGTAGAACAAAACATGAGAATATCTCAGTCTTCTTACACCTAGATAAACACACATATTATTTAAGGCATCTTAGCAAAACACATGACATAAACAGTTGACTTCAAAGGTAACAAAAGTTGTCAAATGCTCACTGATTTCTGCGTTTTTGGAGTCATTACTGGACAACTCTATTATTTTCGTGTTTTTTCTATTTCCTCTCCTCTCTGTACCTGTCTCTCTTAGCTGGATGAGTTGTGCAGTGGTGAAACACTGGATATGGCCAAGCATAATGATCTGTCAGAGAGTCAGAGAAAATTATTGTCAGCCATACTGGAGCTGCTTGGCACAGACACTGCTGCTAACGTCCCTTTATACCTTAATGCAGCTCACCTGTTGGTCAGTGCCATGGAAGGTGAGGACAAACTTGAGTCTGTAGAGGGCTGTAAACATTTTCCCACAGTGATTTTGAGCAAACATGTTTCATATGTTGTTTTTTTGCAGAGTTGTCTGATGAAACTCTGAGCCTCTTGAGTGAGAGCAGCTCTCGTTTTCTGGAGGCCTTCAACACATTGGTTAGTTCAATTGTACTGCAGATTGTTTCATGTTGTCTGAAAATGTTATTTGTATAACAATATGAAGCTACAGCTAGGAGCCTCTTAGCTTAGTTTACTATAAAGGGGAAAGCTCTTGGAAGGGCGAACTAGATAATAGGAAGTTAGTGGGTGCAGTACTACTTGATTTTAGTTCTGCTTTTGATGTTATTGACCATTCTTTGCTGTTAAACAAGCTAGAACAGTATGGTTTTAATCTTGATATGCTGAGGTGGTTAGAAAGTTACCTGACAAATCAAAGTCAATGTGTTTTTTTTAATGGAAGTCTGTCAAAAATGAAGACA